ATGCGCCCCGGTCAAAGATCAAATGCCATCAACAAGACAACCGCATCTTGTGCATCCGCAGTAGCAGAAAACCAAGAGCACTTGGCGCACTAGCGTAAGCACGCACCCCATCATACTTCCAATGCTCTTCTCTGTCTGCACATGCCCCAGTCACAAATGAAATGCCATCGAAATACCGGCCTGTGTGTTAAGCAACTTCGTGGCCGACGGTTGGCACACTAGCATGAGCCGCTACCCTGTCGCGCTCCGACTGCTCCCATCCGTATTTACCCCAGCGAAAGAGCAAAATGCCAACTGCACCTGCAATAGCTTCAAAACCATCCAACAATAGCATTTGATGCATTGTGGTTCATGGTTCGCTGGTACCTTCCAGGCATTTCAGCAGACGTTGTGTCGGAACATCATGCGCCGCGGTGAATGCAGTGGTTCGTGTCGAAAAGCTTTTCTGCGCGCACAGCTCTGCATTGTCTCTGCAACGGTGAATACCTTTGGAGCCACCCTGCAATCCAGAACAAATCACACCCATCGTCTTTCACTGCGCAGCGCTGTAGGACTGACACCTGCAGCTCGGAGACCAATCATGTCGTATCAATGAGGGTAGAATGAAATGCCAGTTTCGATGCCTCTCACATCACCACCTTCGCAAATGCAAAGCTGAGCTGCTAACCGAACGGAGCCGTGACTCGTATGTCAGTTGTGCACCTTGGCAGAACAAAACATGCACCGACAAAACCTTGCATCCCTATGCATCGACTTTGGCTTGTTAGTCGCGAGCGGTGCAGGTCTGCAGAGTTCGGATTCTGTTTCGAACAGGGTACAACCCTCCCTCACGATGGAACCTCAGTGTTGGCTCAGCGCAACCAGATGCTAAGCAGTGCACTTGCCAGGTTTATGAACATCAAACCGGCAGGTGTATGGCGTCTGGCATCGCGATCGCCCATGGCGAAATGAGAACTGGATTGTGTGGACTGTCCTGCCGACGAATACATGGGGCACGAAGAGTTACTTCTCGCTCAGTCTCGCCCACACCACAAGCAACAAGGTTACATCTACTGCGTCGAGTCTTGGTCGTCAATCTTTTGCCTCGTGCACCCACGAACTCTTCACACAGGCATTTGCCGCAGAGTCCTCTGCCAGATGAGGGAGCATGCAAGCTGCTTCTTGGTGCCTGCCAATACGAAGGAGGATTTTCGAGCGTTACACCTGATTGAAATAAAACAAGATTTGCTCGCTCACCTGCCGTGGTACACGGTCTGGTTGAAGCACGCGCAGCCGTTTCACCCGGTTGCGCCTCCACGGATCTACCAGCTGAGACCGTCGATTGTCGAGTCACTATGCAGCCGTAGACAATCGTCCAAAATGCCTGCTTTCGCCGAATGCCTTAATAATTGCGCACCTGCAGACTCGTTATCCATAACATGCGAAGGGAGTGCTGCTAGACAACGTGACACAAGCCAGGTCGCGTTACAGGACGACTAGCAGTTCAACATTGAGCTCTCGCAGGTGTGTCCAACCTCCACAGCACTTCGGGGCTACTCCACGCCGCCAGGTCCTCACCGGGTGATGACACGTGCAAAGGAAAACAAAACCTAGATACCAAAGCTCGTTTCCTGACTTCGAGGGCTGACAGTGTGCATGGCAATGCGCTTGCGAAACTACTCACAGGCACTCGAAGCTGCATAAGCGACCTAGGTCTTCGCATGCAGGTGACATCAAACACAACTCGCGATCCCGCAAAAGCGGGATAAGTTCTTTCCGATGGAGTGACTCGACGTCTGGTGGAGTGGCTCGACGTCTGGTGCAGCATGCAACAGAGGAGTGATAGATTGGCCGCCATCCAGCCGCTGACCCGTCCTGCCCGGTCATGGGCCTCAAACACAATGTGAACCAGTGCCTTGCCCCAGTACTAACAGCAAAAACAGCAGCTGGAGGAGCAGCAGTAGTAGTAGTAGCAGTAGCAGTGCAGTAGCAGTAGGCCGCAGCAGTAGTAGCAGTGGTGGTGGTAGTAGTGGTGGTGGTGGTAGAAGTAGTCAATAGTAAATAGCAAGTAGTAGCAGTAGTAGTAGCAGTACTACTAGTAGTAGTAGTATTAGTAGTAGTAGTAGTAGTAGTAGTAGTGTAATAGTACTGGTGGTAGTAGTAGTAGTAGTAGTAGCAGTAGCAGTAGCAGTAGTAGTAGTAGTAGTAGTAGTAGTAGTAGTGGTAGTAGTAGAAGTAGTAGCAGTAGTAGAAGTAGTAGTAGTAGTAGTAGTAGTAGTAGTAGCAGTAGCAGTAGCAGTAACAGGAACAGCAACAGTAACGGTGGCAGCAGTAGTGGCAGTGGTGGTGGTAGTAGTGGTGGTGGTGGTAGAAGAAGTCAGAAGTAAATAGCAAATAGTAGCAGTAGTAGTAGCAGTACTAGTAGTAGTAGTAGTAGTAGCAGTAGTAGTACTGGTGGTAGTAGTAGAAGTAGTAGTAGTAGTAGTAGTAGTAGTAGTAGTAGTACTGGTGGTAGTAGTAGTGGTAGTAGTAGTAGTAGTAGTAGCAGTAGCAGTAGTAGTAGTAGTAGTAGTAGTAGTAAAGCAGGTGGTGTAGTAGTAGCAGTAGTAGTAGTAGTAGTAGTAGTAGTAGGAGTAGGAGTCAGCAGTGGTGGTAGTAGTAGAAGTAGAAGTAGAAGTAGAAGTAGTAGTAGTAGTAGTAGTAGTAGTAGGCGCCCCCCCTACCAACCACCTCTGCTATACACCCTCTTAACAGCACATCCATTTTACTCGGTATTTACAGTACGTTCGTCGTGTCATACCACTTCTTGTTGTCGCCAAATCCACTCCGCGACTTTGATAAACGCGGCTTCGGATTGGGCGGGGGCGGGGGGGATGATGACGTACAAGCAGACTGCCACATTTGGTGCACATGACATGACATGGTCAGAAGTTCAGAGTCCACGTACAGCGAGCTGGCATCTTTGTTTTTGATGTTTGTAAGATGTTGCGCTTCAGGTTTTAGGAGTGTTAAAGCCTTCTTGGCAGCACCTGCGTTTTGCACGGTATTTACAGCGTTTTCGCACTATCCGAGCACCTGTGCTGTAGCAGTTGCTTCCCCGTCGAGTTTGCAACTCCAACTGCTGTCGCAGTTTTGGGGTCTGAGCCTCTGCAACTTCACCGGCTGTGACAGTTAAGGCAAGTGAGCCTCTGCAACTTCTGCAGCTCTCACAGATAGGGAGCCTGAGCCCCTGCATCTTCTGCAGCTGCCGCACCGGATGGCAACCACTGCAGTGGTAGGGGGGGGTGGGTAGTAGTAGTAGTAGTAGTAGTAGTAGTAGTAGTAAGAACAGCAGTGACGTCAACAATAGGAATAGTAAGTAGCAGCAGTGGCAATCGAAAACTTCAGCTAAAGCGTCCACGCCTGATCATACCTTGACAGTCAACAAGACAAGGGGGACTCCAGATTTTAGAAAGCGAGCTAGTCAGTGAATAATGGTTCCGGGCGAGATCGGGCGAGGAAAAAACTTCACAAAAGGGAGGTGACAAGCGACGGAATTGCCGTCCCGGCAAGCTGCATCCAGAGGGCGGCCCCATGTCAAAAAGACCAGTCAATGCATATCTTCAAGCGCAACATCGACTTGTGCTTCAGTGCCAGGAACAGGAGGCAAGCTATCTGAGCTTAAGTTGAGCAGCCGGCATGAAGATGTCGTCAAAGATTCCGTCGAGTTCAGTGAGCAAGCTCAAGTTCAGCACTGAACGAGGAGGCATCGCGGCCTTCTGCCTGCAAACACGTCTGTCTATGTGTTCTTGATGTGATGCTCTGGTAGGTCCATGCTGCATCTTAGGCCAAAGCCGTCAATGGCGAGGGCTCGCCGAAGCGTATCCTGATGCGTACTTTTCAACTGTTGAAAGTTTCAGGTCAATGGATATACAGGATTTCCCACCAGTGAGGGAAATAAGGACCCTTGGTCCCCAACTCCTTGTTCCAGTGATTTTTCTTCTACAAGCACTGCTGCTTCGGAAGCGGTGAACTCTGCTTGTGCAGGCCCTGCCCGGTTTCAGTCGCCACACCATTTTCTGCTCCCATTGAGCCTACCCAATCCTTCCTCCACTTTGCGCTACCTCCCACTCCGCAATGGAGGAACCAAAAAAGTCAAACCCCGGCCGTCGTACTGCGACCGGATCTTGTTGGGCCCGACCCTCCACAACACAACTCCACTACAACGGAAAGCTTGCCATTCCTCACTTATGCATAACGCTTTCTCATCCCAAGCTCATGAATAGACAATGGCCATGTTGCCACGTGCGCGCCGAATGCGAATAACTTCCAGATGCCAAAGCCTCGAAGCCAAAGTGTGCTGCAGTGAAGAAGTATCAGTATCTGATTCTGTGAGCACAAAAAACAAAGGAGATCACACACTGAGACGTAAACAAAGGCACATCATGCACAAACACCTGCATACCAACATGCTACTTGAAGTACATAGTTTACCTGCGCACGGACATTCCTACGTACTAAACATGCTTGAGAATTCGAACTGACGAGGAGCCATTGCAGGAAAGCAAACGCAACAACCACTGCATACTGTTGCCACTCGCAGGTTCAATCGGTAGGTAGCTGCCATGATGCCCGTGAAAACAATGGGCAACGACCGGGAACGGGAAAGGCTGTTCTCACACAGCAAACAAGCAGTTTCCCCAAAGTCAAGCTCAAAGATATGCGGGGCGCATGCCGCAGTTGGGGGCAAAGGCCAAAGAAGAGCTTAATCCAAGATCGAGCCCCAAGGCAAAGCCAAGGCCAGAGGCGAAGGCACTCTGTTGACCACAATGATGGGTTGATGGATACTACCCATCATTTATTCAAGCGGACGCGGCCCATGTCAGTCGGCCTTCGACGAGTTGCTCACCATCCATTTCGGCCCCTCACCTCAATGCAAGGCTGGGAGGATGCCAACGATCAGTGGAGCAGAAACCTCTTCAGTGAGTCCATCGACAACGGTGAATCCTCAGCTGGCTGAGCACGTGAGTCGAGGCTTGGGCTCACTGAAGCGTCTCCTGGCGTGCATGTCTCACCCGGATTCAAGGATTCAGAGATGCTTCGGACCTCTCATGACTTCCCAACACCTTTCGCTATGCTGCGGCTGCTAGCAAAGCATTCCCAGCAAGGGAATCAACGATTTCCCCCGAAGCTGCATTGCAGCATCTTGCTACCGAACTGCCATCTCGGGCATTCCTGTGCTTCGCACTGCAATTCAGCACTCGGACCCTTCACAACTGCACTACAACGGAAAACTCGGCACTCCCCCACTTCGAGTTTGCGCACAAGTCAAAAGATCCGAGCCTTGGCCATTTGGTCAAGTGCCCTCCGAAGGCGAAGAACTTCTAGATGCCAAAGCCTCAAAACCAACGTGTGGTGAAGTGATAAGGTGCTTGAATCCGGGCACATGGATCAAACCAGATCAAATGCTAAGTTTGACGATGTTCAAGCCGTATGTTAGTTGTGCACACTCGACCTGTTGCCATGATCCAGGCCTTTCTTGCAGCTTGGAGGGATGTTTTACTGGAGAAGCTGTGCATGCTTAATTATTCGCATCTGGCTGAGTAGAATACAGTGTAGAAGTAGGGCGTGTAAGTTCGAGCGAAGCGTGCAGGAGCAAGCTAATTACGCAGCAAACGCAGAGTTGTCACAACTGCAAAAGTTTCGGCAGTTACGCTCGAGGCATCTTGCGTGATGACGGCTTGCCCAAGATTGCATGCCTACGCACAAAGTCCGGCCACCTCTCAGGCTCTTCGACGCCGCTTGTGCTTGTAGCCTGACGGTCTCCCCATCCCGGCACTCGGTCGAGACCCCTGCCTGACCACCTTCGAAACGTTCCATACTGCCTGCTGGCTCCACCCATTCCACCCCTTACAATCCACTTGATCAAGTTTACGATCGAACAGATCATACCCCATCCAACGAGAATACAGTTCTCTTTCATCTAGACTGTAGAACTGACATGACAGTGATTGCATTCAGGCGTCTCACCCTAACAAAGGTTCTCGCATGCTTCCGGCTCAACTTGCCCTGCCGGGTGGACGATGCTTGATCTTCAGTTCAGGCGCGTGTGGTGCACAAAACGTGCATTTATCTGTATGATGGACGGCTGAGACAGGGGCTGAGTAGGAACGGCCTTCCTGACGCCAGGGGCTAGCAGCGCTACTTGCACAGGTTGATCAACCTCGACTCTGTGTCGGGCGAAATCACAGCTTGCGAGCTTGATGATGTATCGTTCATCATGGACCCATCCTGCGGAACGTCTGGCCGTCGTGCATCACCATGTAGTTCTGCCTCATTCTGAAACAACGATGACAGCAAGAAATCACGCATGCCCAAATGCTTATTTCTTTCACGCAAGACTCTGGATTTCAGTTGTTTAACTTACCGTTGAAGCCCGAAACATCGCAAACCTGCTCGTGTCACGCGTTATTCACCTAGTGTCCGTCACCAACATGCAACTCGCTTATGATCATATGAGCTACAGTCCCGAGCATGAAGCTTCTGCTGCTTGAGCACAGGCATATGCAAGAGCGCTGGAGGAGACCTGCAAATCGCGGCTGGGCTGCTAAGAGTGCAATGGCCTCCAAGTCTCCAGATGTGGAGCTCCGCCTGTCCAGGATGTTTCGGACATCTCATGTCTCGCACGGCTGTGACAAGCGATGCTACTAGAAAATGTTCCCGAGGCTGCCGGCCTTCCGGCGGCGCTTCCTTCCGGCTGCACAAGACCACATGGAAGCTTGCAGGCAAGGGCCGGGGGAAGGGACTATGCTGCTCCCGTGCCTCGCAGGTCGAGCATCAAAGCTGCAGCTTCAGCATCCACCTCGGCCCTTTCGGTCTCCTCGTTAAGGTTCTGCAGGTCTCTTCGAATGCGGATAGCAGCAGCTTCGATGGCGTCGACCTCTTCGAATTCCTTGATGAGGTTCCGCTGCCAAGCAGGTCTATGTGCCTCGGAATCTTCGTCACTGCCATCTCGGCACTGCTGGTGCCCGTCTTGACGGTCAGATCCCTTGCCCTTCCTCGGCAGCAAAGTAGTCACAAGCAGATGGTGTTGTTTTGAATCAGAGAGCCACTCAACCGAGATTTGATCAAACACATCCACCTTGCAACAGATTCTGGCGGATGCGCCCCAGTGCTTACAAGTACGAATGCTAGCAGGTAGCCTTCTGGGCTCCAAAGGTGACGCTGCCAAGCTGGGTTCGTCCTTGCATGCAAACGCAGCTCGCAAATCCCACGGCGTACCCGAAACACAGTAGTGCTGTTGAAGACGAATGCTCCGTGTTCAGAGCAGTCAGCACCCAAGACAGACAAGTGATCATCATGCACGAATGTCACGGCAGCATGCCGTTCGTCCGCAACCAAATACTTGGAGATAGCAGGAAGGCCGTCCAAACGAACCGCCAACCGGCGGTGCCGGAACCGAACCGATAAATGGTCGGGGTAGAGAACGAAGTTGCAGCATTTTCATGTCTCGAAAATCACTGAACTTGTAACTGCTTCCTTGCGGTGGTGCGGGGTGGAGGACAGGTCGTCCGAAGTTCAAGCATGTTCAAGCTTTTGAAGCGCCAGCATCACCAGAAACTGTGTTCGACGAGTGCAGATTTCTAGAATGTAGCGGAGGGTGGGTGGGGGGGGAATAGACCCTAACAGGTATTTGCAGAATGCCAGCTGTCGGAACTGCCGAGTGGAAAAGGCTCGCTGAGCATGAATCAGATTCGGTTCACATACGGGTCGAACAGCAGCAGCCTTGAAATTATCGGAATCGCCACGACGCCAGAATCTTCACAAGCCAAGCTTGTGGCTGTGTTAGTGTCGGTGTCTGCTGCTGCTGCTGCTGCTGCTGCTGCTGCTGCTGCGAAGTTGAACATCCAACCTTGTGCAACCGGCTCATCCTGAACATGCATTTGAGCAGTACATACCAAGTTGAGAAGGCATCGCTACCGAAAAGTCGTTGGATCCGACGTGGCACAGCAGCATAGCTTGGCAAAGGCCGTACGCAGGTGGGCCGATCAACTTCCGTGGATCCCTACATCCTCGGCCGGTGCTGCTTCCACCGCGCGGACCGCGCCGGCTTCAAGGGGCCTCAGGCGGATGCGCGCACAGGCCCAGAGCTGATGCTCGAGACTGAGATGCCGGTTTACCAAATCAAAGCGGGCTGCGCTTGCGGAGCGGCCATCGGCAGCTGCGGTCGAGAAGACAGCCCGCCAGTCGGATACTCCTGTCGGACCAGCCGCCGAAGCAGACGCTTCCCGCCGCCAGGCACTCTCGGAGCCCGAGGCGGTTTCACCGATTTGAGAACTGACAGAGGGACATCAAGCTTACCCTGAGTCCGAGGACGTGAAGCTAGTGAGAACATCGGAGCTGCACTCAGAACCGATCGTGGCTTTTCACTGACTTTCACACAAACATGATCGCAGTTCGGCCGGATTGGAGAGCTAAGGGTGAACTGCGGAGCTAGCCAAGACTTACTCGTACCCGGTCCGGCAATGACCGGGTCATGCACATGCGGAATGTCCGACAGGACAGCGTGGCACGACGGCGAGAACTCCCAATACCTTGTCCAGCTGACCCCGTTCCGCCCATGAGCCTCGAGGAGTGACCTCGCAGCACGGGCGGCGACGGAAGCGTCTGCACCGCGAGCAGCCCCAAAGGCCATCGCGGCGGCTGAGGCCTGCAAAGGCTATTCAAAACCTCCGAGACCTCAATATGGGTAGATTGCCTACGGCGTCGGTGCATTCTACATGCACCACTTCTTGGCTGCTCGATTATGCCAAGACTCCGTGCTCCACTCTATAACCGATGTTGCTTTCACAAGGCTGCATGAAAGCTGCAAGAGCTACCAGCTGTAGCCTCCGGACACACCGAACAAGTCCCAACAGCCGCCCCCGACCTGCTTTGCCGCCTCGTGCGGCGAGCAGCTAGCGCCCAAAGCAGCATCGCCGGCAGCACGACCGGCGACCAGTGCTGCTGCAGACGCCGCTGCCTGGAGCAGAAGCCAGCAAGTGCAGTACTGTGGCAGCACCGGTGGAACAGTCAAGCTCTCTTCGGGGAAGCCTCGTGAGAAGAGCAGTCTTTTCTGTTGTCTTAATCCATCTGATCATCTGCGTAAGGTCTGCAGCTGTGAAATACTTTCAATCTCTGATTGTGAAAATACAGGACTTGTGCCTCCTTGCCGAAACCGTGGCTCTCCAGAAAGCACTCTGCTGCCTCGCGAGCGCAAGTTCGAAAACTCGTCAGGATCTGCACAGCATTGCGCAGCTCTCATGCCCTTGGCTGGACCAAACCCAGCCTCTCCGGCAAACTGTGCAGCTGCATCTGGTGGTTGGCCCTGCAAACACAATTGCAAATATCATGTGCGAAAGGCCTGTGACTGCACATGTGTCAAGATTGAACCTCCAGAAAAATAACACGAGTACAGGTCCCGTAGCCTTCCCCAGTGTGCCGGCGGCAGCAGCAGCACCGGCAGCTAGAGCTGCAGCTTCTGCAGCAGCCTCCCATGTAACAGAGTGGGGCTTGTGGTGCTTGGTACTTGGGACAGCGGCCTTTCGATTCATGCCCTGCGACTCTGCCGCTGTGAAGGCATGTGTGGCGGCTGCAGTCGCCACGACATTTGCAGGCTTCCCTGCAGCGAAGGATGCTTCCGCAGCGACGGCGCCTGCTGCTAAAGCTGCGCACTTCGCGACTTGACTTATCGCCAAGCCAAAATCCAAAGCTGCAGCTGCTGCTGCCTGACCTGCTGAAGCGGCAGTCTCGTTCAGACTCGCGCCCTTTGTGAGCAGAGCTCTGCCCCAGAACATTCCAGCGCTGATGGATGCGTGGTAGGATGCGCGGTCAGGCACCAAGTGCGCACCAAGCCAAGCCATCTTTGCTGCTTTGGCTGCTTCATCCACGGCCTCCTCCAAACTGAAGCTCTTGTCCAAGCCTTCCTGCCCAACCACACGTGCCACGGTTATCAATGCCACCTCGCCTGCCACCTGAGTGGTGCAAGCCCGAAGCTGGGCAGGGCCTCCAAAGGCACTCCTCAAAATGTGATGTTACAAATTAAAATCGAAACATTCGCTTTGTTCACAACAAGATGGTCTTCCTCGCGAAAACTTACGCGGAAAGTGTTCACGCAAAAAGCGTGACAACCAAAGCAAGACGACGGCCGCCACCGCCACCGCCACCAACACCGCCACCGCATCGCCACAACCACCACCATCGCCAGCAGCACCAGCAACAGCACCAGGACTACCGCAATGACCACTACGACTACGACCAGGACGGCCAAGACGAAAACGACCGTTCGGTCTGGTGCTTCAATTTAACCAGGTGGGGTGCCAAGGTATCCATCGTCCAAGTCGTTTGACTTCCGAGGCAAGAACCCTGTAGTGTGCCAGCGCATGCCAGCCCCCTGTTGTTCGACCGGACCTGCCTCTGCCCGGCACTCGGAGGCTCTGTCTCTGTAAGTCTCCACGAGTATGACTCATGCTACTTGTGCACTTGTTTCATTCGGTTGCGATTTGCTGTGATTGCTCTTGAGAGCCATTTGTACCCACTCGAGAGCTCTTGTGGCCCCACCTTATCCCGCCAGTGATGGTCCGTCACAGTTGAGGGGCGAAACGACCAGTACGACTGTGCATATTGTGGAGAGGCAGCTGCCTGATGATGGGTGCAAAAGGGTTCTGGTGAAAGCTTTTGCCTGTGCACAAACAGTGTTTTAGTCTGGTGTTTCTAAAGGGGCTGGGTGTGCTTGCGATACTAAACTAATTTTTTCTCCAGCAACTCCGAATGCTGTGACTTGGCAGACCTTCTGCCGAACACGTTGTAAACCTAATCATGAAGCAGGGGAACTGCCGGCTGGCCTACAAGGATGCCGAACGCACGCAGGGCGGTGCGGCATCCAGGTCTGAAGCAGGCCCGGCTCTCGACCGTCCGCCTGTCGTGTAGTTTCCTGCTTGCAGCGAGCATCCAGGTGCCTTTGCGCAGGTGGTCTGACCTGCCTCAGAACAGGGGGCCTCCTCCAACTTATGAGAACTCTGTGGAAACAAGATCTCGCGCCGTAGTGCATTGTCTGTGAGCGCGGGCATGCTGCCTTTTTGGGGTTATCAACGGCCGGTTCGTAGGCGATCGCTTTTATCATGCGCCGTCCCTCTTGGCCCCCCTTCTTGCCCGGCATGCTGCTTTGGAGGATCATGCTGACGGGCTGGGCCAGGGCCCATGAGCAGCACATCTGCCTTTCTCCTCGTTCAAAGAGGAATGTGCTGGTACGTATGCATCAGGATATGCACACAACGAGTTTGCTTGCGGCAACCTGATCGTACCCTGTGGACGCTGACAGGGTGAAGGCCTCTGGGCGCAGCACCCTGGGGGGGCACACGCCATGGATGAACGCTCGGGCCCCGCAACTATGCTGCGGATCACTTAGTTCTCGCCGCATCCCAGACATGCCTCTACACCCGGTCGTGTGGCGATCGCACAATGCTGACTGGTTGAATGGCCCATAATGGCCCGCTCTTTGACCAGACTCTCACATGGCCAACGCTGTCATGGACTGCTACAGGATTCCGACACTGCGTTTTGTCATGTGAGCCACTCGTTCACTGTCTGGAGTTCAATGTAGTGCTGACTCGTCTTATATGAGAACCTTGATCGGTAGTTATGCGCCCTTCATTTGTGGAGTGGCCAATCCCTGGTACGCACAACAGCTGCATGTTGCCAATAATGCAACCAGCGACACACGTCGCTGACCTAGTTCCCCTGTCGCAAGGTATGGATCCCCTTGGCTGCGGTACAAACAAAAAGGCAGCAGCACCGGCAACAGCAACAGCACCTGAACTACCGCGATGACCACTAAGCATCGCACCAAGAGACCACCAGGACACCACGGCCAAGGTGTCTCTCCAGTCTCGCCACCCGCCAAGTGGCCCCCAAGTACTGGCGAATTCAACACCACGGCGAACATGCTTTCCCCAAAGAGCATGCAGGCGGATTCAGGATGCTTATACATCTTATATTGGAACTGGCATTGAATCTGGCTCTCCGGCGGATGCCCGAACGCATAATATGCACCGCGCTAGCACCGTCTTCCGGTTTAACCGGACGGGCGGTTTATCCGGTTTCCGGTCTATTTCGCCCAGGTGCTTCAATTTAGCCAGCTGGGGTGCAAAGCCAGCGTTCAAGTCGTTTTACTTCCGAAGCAAGAACCACCTAGCGTGCGCCAAACTGCTTGGTTAACCAAAAGCCGACTCTAAAGTACTGTGCAGAAATCACTGTCTAGGCGGAAACCCTGTGTTGTCACTTTTTCTCGCGGAGGTTTAGCGGGCCTTGCTGTTGTACATACTGTTGGTGCTTGTGGTGGTGGCAGCAGTGGTGCTAGCAGTCGTAAGCATCATCATGATAAAAACCAGTCAAAGCAGTAGTCACTACTACTACTACTACTACTACTACTACTACTACTCCTGCTGGTGCTATTGTTACTGCTACCTGCTACTGCTACTGCTACTAGTACTACTAGTACTACTACTCTTACTATTACTATTACAATAAGTATGACTATTTCCATTACTATCACTATTACTATTACTACTGTTATTGTTATTACTACTACTACTACTACTACTACTACTACTTGTACTTCTACTTCTACTTGTACTTCTACTTCTACTAGTACTATTACTGTTACTATTACTATTGTTATTATTATTATTACTACTACTGCTACTACTACTACTACTACTACTACTACTACTGACAATAGTAGTAGTAGGCCTCAGCCCCTTCCTTTGACCCACCTGTTTAGCATGCTTAACATATCTAGTCTGTGTCCTGGGATGCGAGGAGTGGGTGGGGGTGTGTGGGCAATGACGCCCGGGATGGTGGCGCGAAATCAACCAGAGGACAAGAAGGACCACCAGTAGCCAAAGCTTCGAGCTATTTCGCCTTTTCAATGGGTTTTCTTAACGGATCCTGGCTCTCTGGGAGAAGGTGAAACGGGACGGGAGCTCGAGAGCCACGGCTTCATGCATGAAGAAGCAGTCATGCCTTTGGCGCTTACCCACGATGCTGCAACAGCATGGATGAAGGAAAGTCTCCCTGTCGTGGTTTTTGCTCGGGGCGAAAAGGCGGTCCACGAGTTCCAATGGAAACATTGGAATCGGCAGCAAAGACTTGTGGCGAATGGTCGGAGATTCACACGCAAGAGGAGTGAAAAAAACAGCGGCGTCGGCGTCGTCCGAAACACCAGTTCTCACACCAAAACCTTACTTTCGGGGACCGGAGCTGGTCCCTGAAACCGACGGTTCAGCAAAAGTAATTTGCAACTCTTCAAGCAACGAACTCCACGGCCACGCCAGCACTTTCCACATTTGCATGAGGCGACATTCAATGCTATATCCCGTTAAAGGGTGGGTCCCCTCAGGGGTTCGCACCTAGTAGCAGCAGTAGTAGCAGTCGTCGTCGTAGTTGGTATGTCGCATTGTCTAGCCAACAACAGTGACGACACGACGACAAGGAAACAACTCGAAAGCATTTCCTGCCCAGCCAACACTCCAGATTCACCAAGACATCACGGACCTTGCTCTGCGCCCAGCCACTTGAGGAAACATTCCTGCCAGCCGGCCAGCTGCAACAGCGGCTCTCCCCGCGGCTGCAGAAGCTTCTTCGACGCTGGCTGTCTTCAGGGTCAAGCCTTGTTCAAGTGCAAATCTAGCAACCATTGCCACGGCTGCAGTGGCTGCCGTGCCAGGGTTCGTTCCCGCCCCCAATGCCATGGAAACCACTGCATGGCCTCGGCCCCACAGGACGAGTTAGCATGGCAATGCGAGTCTTTTGATAGGACTCAAATTTCTGCCGGTTCTAAGCTCGAAATCTCACCGAGAGGCCAGCGACGGCCGCTGCCTCGTCTAGTCCTTTTCCGGCCGCAGTCGCTACATGCGCAGCTGCGCCGCCTGCATGAAGGGCCTGACACTCGAGAGCCTTTTCTGTAGGGAGCCCAACATCCAAGGCAGCACGACTCGCCGCTGCGGCTGCCTGCCAAAGACAACAGCCAAAGCGGTGTTGTGGCTCTTCATGCTAATTATTTAATTGCCAGCTGACTTATCTTCCACACACCGTGCCGTAGCAGCTCTTCCAAACCGGCCTGCTGCACAGCCTGCTCCGAACTGCAGCATGATGCCATAGCGTCCAATGTGGCAGCACGTCCGGCTGCTGCGACAGCCAAGCATTGAACATCATTGAATGGCAGCTTGTGTTTCTGGCCCTCCTTGACGGCTGCAGCAGCTGCACTAGCTGCAGCCTGTGGTGCTGCCCCCTGCAGGAGCTTTGCACAAGCTGCTGCGTGGGCCGCCGTCTTCACCGCACACTGCTGCAATCGTTCTGTGCTTGTCTGTCCAAGCTCGCCAGTCTGCTGCACTACTTGCTCTGCCACCTGCAAGACGTCCTCCGTGTTTGTCGATGCAGTCAATGTTGCGTCAAGAACCGCCCACGTCACAGCAAGGGAGGTTACTTCAGCATTGCGGGCTGGAGTCAAGCCCACAGCATCTCCAGCCTGCAATAAATCCGGAAAATCAACAATCCGGACAGCACAAATGGCAAGTCAAAGCCATGCAAGAAGAAAACGAAAGCTCAAATCAAGTTTATAACGCCTGGAGGCCAGCATCGCAGGCTTGATGCAACGCAGTTGCACGATCCTGCAAAGGCGATCGCACGGCAATCGCTGTCGGATGTGGGGATGAGATAGTTCCACCTTCTTGCGCTTTACAAGTCTTGTCGAAGTTTCCCATCAGCCTCGTATGCCGTCATGGCAGCGCAAGTGGTCCGCGAGGCCACGGCTGTGGCTGCCATCTCGGCTGCCTGCCGAAAACTGCTGTCTGCATGGGTTGGGTTTGGACAGGTCCGCCGAGCCTGAGCTGGTTGCAGCCCTGCGGAAAGCCCAAGCGACCGTGCCAAGTGAGCCAGTGCCAAGGCGCGAGATGCCAGGTCTTCATCCGGCCTCCGCAGGTGCGGGCACTGGCTCTCAAGCACGCGGCACAGTCTCTGTCCAGGCCGCCTTCGCTTGATCAACACGTGTGCTGCAATCCCGATACCAGCGTCGACCGCTGGCCCTGCGAAGATCTGCCAACCGTAGCCCGAACAGGTGCAGGATACACAACCAAACTCATCAAGCTCGGCACAAACGTTCGCCTGGCAGCAAGCCTGCGGCAATCCCAGCCTTGACCCCGGCTGCCCCTGCAAACATGCAAACGCAGGGACGGAGAGGACAGCACAGTGTGAGATGCTTGTTGCCTGCTTTTGAAGCTTGCTCTTCTGGGCTTCTTTTACCATCGCTGGCCGCCGCCAGTCTGCCCAGGGTCATGGCGATGGCCTTGCCACAGGCCTTGTTGAAGTTGCAAGCCCACGCCCACGAGCTGCGAAGTGACTTGCAAGCGAGGACTGCGTCTCAGCTGCGCACCTCTGCCGAGGCGGCCGAGGCCTCGATCCCTTCTGCGGCCTCGTGGCCAGCTGCCTCCAAGGCTGCCTCCACAGGCAAAATCCCGGAAATATCTCTCGTGGAAAGAGCTGCTGGCCTCAGGTGCTCGGCCCTTGTTAACCAAGAATTCGAAAGCGATCCTGCCGGGACGACACGCGTTACATGAGACTCTCCGCGTTAAGCCTGCGAGGTCCTGCAAGCATCTGCAAGCCTGTGGGCAAGTCTTGGCACTGTGTTCGGCTCCGCCTGGCCCTTGCAGCCGCAGCCGCCGCGGCAGCCGGCTGCGACTCGCTGCGGCCCCGCGCTGTGGAGGCTGTGCCCGCGATCTCCAAAAGCGACAGTAGGATCTTAGAAACCTCGACTATCTACGCACGCATAGTACCTCTGGCTTGCCAATTCTCAAGCTCACGCCTTCGCGGCGACAGCAGACGCTGTCTCCAGGGCAGTTGAATGCATCAGACCTTCACGCGTCATGCGCGCAGAAGTGGCTGTCGCGAGGGAACCGCTAGCAAGCTACACAAAGAGAGCCTATGCGAATGCGCATTCCACCCAAGTACGTATCACACTCCGACCAGGAAGGTTCCTGACCCGAAACACTGGCCCTGCAGCCGCGGACCTTGGGTCAATCCCACGCGCCATGCGACAAGTGCAGCCTCCTCCGAAGCCTCCTGGCGAAGAGTCAGAAGTCCACTTCTGACTGAGACTAATTAGAAAGGCAGAAGGCCTCCCCGGTCCAATTCTCGGCCACGACATGGGCTGCTGTCAAAGCAGCAGCACGGCCGGCCTGGCACCGTTCCCCAAATCTCGAATAGCTGGTGCTGCGCGATAGATGTCGCCTCTGCAGGTGCCAGCCCCGCCGCAGAGCCCGCATGGGCCGCGGCCCGAGCACCAGCAGCTGCGGCATCCTGGTCGCGGTATTTGCACAAGCCGGCTGATAGGGCCGATAGCACGAAGCAGTACACTCTTGCAATGCTCAGAAAGCTCCATGCGCAGTGGTGGGAATTACTTCGGAAAGACACTCTGCATGTGACGCAAACGTCAAGCGTGACCACTTACTACAGAGGTCACCGGGATGTGCTGCAGTGGCGGTATGGACTGGTTGCTGCACGCCAGCTTCGGCGTCCTCCAGCTTCGCTCCAGCGTCCATTTCCAAATCTGATGCTACCTGCATGCTACTTTACAAGGACGAATGCATTTGCCGGAACGACGACGATCAGACCGAGCTAGGCCATAAAGGCAGATGGCATCACATGACGGATCGAACATCTTGAAGGCTTCCACCCGAAGCCTTTCCAGCGGCGACAGCAGCAGTCTCAGCAGCATCTTTCACCTCGAGTCCTGCAGCTGCGGCAGCAGACATGGCGGCGCGGCCTGCGCTTCGGGCGCTGGAACTGCACATTGTCGCTTGCTTTAAGACTTGAAGATGCTTCGCGCCTGCAGCTGCGATCGCCAGGTCAGGTGGGTGCTCGCTGTCCATGGCGTCCTGTGTGCCAGGCCCAAGCCTAAGCCTACACTCACAGCAACCGTCCCGAAGCAGGACATGCAGGGCCTGCGCAGCGAGACAAGCGGCCCGGGCCGCAACTCGCGGCGCAAATGCCAAGCCGTGCGAGGCGGCTGTTCGGAAGGCCTCCGACTGAGGTTCTCTGAAAGCTCTATTCGCCAGCGCTAAGACTAACACAGCGCCTCGTGGCCTGCTTCCTCGGCAATGCGTTCTGCATCGAGGCCAAGCCCAAGACCTGCCTGTGGCTGTTGGGCTGTTGGGGCTTTGAGCATTTTGGCTGTTGACGCATGGAGAAGTTCTCAACTTTCCAGCACATCACGCACGTTCAGGCAGCAGCGTCTGTTCGCACCCTAGCCCGACTAACGGGTGCTGCCTGATGTCAGATGTTTATGTCTGCCCAGAACGGAGCGGTAGAACATTGGTAGAACGCTGCTTCAATGTCTGCCTGTTTCCACGGTCCCGGAGGATCCAAACTTGTGCGGGCCTAGAGCCCCGTCCTTTTGCCTCCTTTCCAAGGAAGTCACCAGTCACCACATCCATTTCAACAAACGGACGTGAGGAGGAGCTTGCTAAGTGGCCAACAAAATCAGAATCCTCAAGCCGGGGAAAGGCTTGAGGGTGCTGTTAGTTTTATCTTTGGGAGCGGCCCGGCTTGTTTATCTTGTGTGTGATTGCACTAGATGTTATAGCCGATTGCACATTCATCGCAAGTTAATGTATAGGTCGTGCTAACTGCTAGCTACAGTAGCTGTTAAGAATTCCAGCGCTTTTGCACTGACCTGATTCCTAACAAAGCTTTGGGTTTTCGTTGGAATCAGCTGACCTGACTTCCAAAGAGTTACAGCAGGCGCTCAGGCTGGTATCACAACCAATCAGACTTCACTTGTCAGTGCGTTTGCTTGCCAGTTTCAATCATTCTGTCCTAATACATTCCCTGCAGTGAAATTCTCGTAGAAGCGCCCGCACCTAACGTGTATGCCGATCGACTGGCATCTATGCCAGGGTTTCTTGCTGTGGCTCGATGATCGGAGTCGTCAAGCGGATCCCGCATGAGCAGATTGTCGGCTCGTATGGCTCCGGGTGTGGCAGCCCTCCGAAGGTGGGGCAGCTGTACTGCCCTTTCAAAGTGCTTCGTCCTGCTGGGGCCAGAGGTTGGTTTGAGCGGGAGCCGCAGTGCCCTGTAAGGGGTTGTAATTGGCGATAACCATGCGCATCGCCTAGGCAGCCGACACCGTCCGTGACATGTCATGTCATCTGCCCTGCGCTGTAATACCGTCAAAAGTTGGGAGTCGGGAGGGAAGCTGGAGGACCAGTGAGCAAGAAACACACGCTACATCACGCTACAGAGCGCTCACAGCAAGCAGCAGTCCAGACTAGACGGATAGCTATGGCAAGCCCGTCAGAAGGACGTCAGCCAGAGTTGTACCGCGCAATAAGAGGCAACGGGGTCCTATCGTTCACGTGCTCGTGGCGCTTTTATCGCCCACGCATATCCTGCGGCTTCGCTGTATAGGAACCTCAGCCATCCTCAGCCACTACCCGAATGCCTAAAAAATGAGAGCCTGAGGGTTCCACACCTTGCCGGGGAAGATTCAAGCTTTTGGGGTCATCAGTTTCATTGTAGGCTTGGTCAGTCGTTTGAGTGCTGGCGAACGTCTCGTCGCCGGCCTCACGGCAGTCGTATCCTTTGGATTTCCAGACATGCCGGATTTGCTTGGACATAGGTGGCAAAAGCCACACCGAATAATTCAACCGGGGACCTCCTGGGGTTGAGAGCCTGTCACACTGGGCTTGGAAGCCCTTTGCACCCCTTCGTTCGGGTTTCGGGTTGAGGGTGACCAGAGACGAGAAACTACTGGTAGCAGCCTACGGTAACGACTCGGTGCAACAGGGCCGAGTCCCAGGGACACGCCTCAGCCACGGCTTCGGCGGCACAAATCGCAGCCAGCTCTGCCGCTGCGGCCTGCCGCGTTTAGGCACGGCGAAACCCACGCACAGCATCGCACAGCTGCACCAAAGCTAGCCCCTGTCATGAGCATGGTGAACGGGAAACCACTATCTTCAAACTGTCGCACAGTCGAGCCACGGTGGAAAGGGTGTAGGAGTGTAGGACTCTGACAACATCTTCGGTTTGCCAGGCATTGCCTCCGCTGCTCCTGCCGCCTGCGCCGCTTCAAAGGCTGCCTCGTGAAAGGTGAAAACAAGGGGCAAAAATGCGAATTCCGATGTGATCGATGGCAGCAGCGGCAGGCCCGAGAAAGCTGAGAGAAGTGTGTCAAACACGGGGCCATACGGTCACCGCACACTGCATACTGACACTGTGACACTGTAGACCTCACTGGCTCTCGGCGATTCTCGGCGCCTGGCCTGGGCTGCCTCGGCCCCGGCATCGAAGCGGCTTCGGCCTCAGGCGTGCTCTCTTCCCACTTTGGGGCCTGCACTTACAAAGGATCTCAGTTACGGTGTTGGTTGAAGTCGTCACTCTCCAACGAGCACACGAAATTCATATTCGCGCGCGTTCAGAGCATTGCATCTCGGAGCTGAAGTCTGGCAACCGTTGCTGGAGATGCCTTCGCCTGCCAACCTTCTCGGGAGACATACTGAGCAATCGATGAGTGCAAATGCCAATGAACCTGTTGGCAACAAACGGCCTTGACATGTCTTGGCAAGATTTACCAACATTTCACATGAGGTTGCTCAATGTCTGGTTCTCGACGCAGTGCGAAAACCTGATTTCTCCCTAGAAAACGGTTTCAACGTGTCTAAGCAGCGATGTCCCATACTTAACGTGACCCCGACGAGAGTATGTGTTTGAGTTGAGTTTTGTCGCCATTATCGTGGATGGCTTTGTTGGCAAAACTTTACGGTTCTTGACCATGTTTTTCTTTGTGTGCGTGTGTGGGTGTGTGTGTGTGTGCGTGTCACTGACATGGTGCAGCGTCTCAGGAGACTTGGGACTTTTTCTATGTATTCGATCTACATGCTGCCTCTGGGGCAGCGGTGCGCGGCAGGGTGCCAGACCTAGCTTGACAAATGTTATCAAATGTTACTGTCGCCTTATCATCTCGTCATGGGAATGCCCGGACCAACAGTTGAAACCCACTTGAACCGGAACAACAGTCGTTGACTCATGCTGGCAGTGAAACTCCGAAAGGAGTCCCGCTCTCTCTCACCCTCTTTCTCTGCGGGTGACAGTGTGTTCTTTTGACATTTGATGTTGGACTCTTCCTGAACGTAATTCTGGAGTCTATTTCTGAGATGTTCCGTGCGTTAGAGTCCGATCGACATGCAGAGAGCATAGTGCGCCCAAGCGGCAACTCGGTGACTCGACTGCGCAACGGGCTGCAGCTTTGGCCGCTACTTTCGCATTCAGCATGCTGGGCAGGTTCTTCTTGGAGGCCATGTCATTGGCGCAGGTCCCGGCTTCTTTGGATGCATCGGGGAAGGAAGCGCCGGAGCTCAAGCTTCGGTGCCCGGCGGCGACTCCGGCCTCCACCGTCGAGAGCTCCAGTGCTTTGGAAAAATCCAAGCCTGCCTCCTGCCCCGCGTTGAAAGCAGCATCCTGAATGATGAGCACGTCCGTCGAAGGCTCTTTCCTGATGAGATCTGCGGCTAAGCTGCATGCCAGCCCGCCAGCCTTCTGCCGCGACATCCGACCCTTCGCTGCTGCTGCACCGAATCTGGCAGCATGCGCAGCCGCTTCTAGGGCTGGCTTTCCAAGCTCCAACTCCAGCTCGAAGAAATACCTTCCCAGCCCTCTTGCAGCCTGCTTCACGGACTCCGGGTTACCTCCATTTCCGATAAATTTCACAACTTCCGTAGCATCCAAGACAATGCTGTCCAGCGGTTTTCCAGATGCGCTGGCCTCTCCACCGAGTACCCGAACAGCGACAAGGGCGCCGGCCTCCCAAGCCCGGTGTCGAACCAGGCCCCACTCCTCTGCCGATCGAGCAGCTTCCCGCCCAGCCCTGAGCGCGACCTCCTGCGAGCCAATCTCTAACTATCAACGCAGCAGCAGGAACACATGGAACACCCACAAGGGTGCGTAGCTCCTTCACGGAGCAATCATCGTCCAGCAGAGCTGATGTCATTGTCTCACCGGCTGCTGCTGCCGCCACTTCTGCGGCTCTTTGCTGGCCTGTAGTTTGGAAAACTGCCAAACCTAGGACGAGTGGGCAGCTCAGGTTGCGGATCCGAGCGGCTCATTCCCACTTTGGCAGCGAATGCAGCAGATGCATCCCCGGCCTCATCCGCCGCCTCGCCAGGTTGGTCATGTAGTATTTCACTTATGGGTTTAATGCCCGTTTGCGGTGCGTTGTGATGCGCTCTGTGCAATGGGCCTTCTCCGGCTTTTGCCACCGCAAGCAGGCTCGGCCCATTGTGCGGCCAGCTGCTGTGGCACCGATTTGAAAGGCCTCCTTGCGAAAAATTTCAATCACTGAGCTCCATCGGTCCGCTCTCTGACTGCTCCTCGGAAGTGAGGCCCTGGGCCACGGCCACTGCCACGGCCGCCTCGCCTGCCTCGACGGCGGCTTGGGCATCGGACTTGCCTCAGGTTAAGGAACCAACGACGCGAACACCATCACACCGAGCGCGGCGATGTGCACGGCTGACGGACATTCTCAACCGGGGCCCACGCCGTGTGCTCGTGCCAGCTGCGCTGCGGCACAGGACACCACCCGAGCCGTTTCACGGCTGGCCTTCTCAGACGGAGCACCCAGCGTTCTGGCTGCAGCCGTCGCCACCTCGAAGCTTGACTTTGCCGGAGACACGGAGCTATAATGTGATTCGTACTTGCGAACTACATGCGGCCACACACACAGACACACTTACACCAAATATCTTGATCTGCAATGTCGTCGGTGCTGTAACTCGATATCTTGCTTCTTGATGGATCTCGAGGCTTCCTACTGATCTTTGCACAACACAACTGCAAGCAAACAAAAGCGCTCAACATCCTATTGTGGGGTTCTTGGCTTGACCCCTTGCCATATCAACGCGCGTACGTGGGAGTGATCGGCTCCCATATCACAGGCATCCAACAAGTGTCTCTGCTAGCACCGGACTGTTGGAGCCCCGGTTGCCGCCCTGCTCGCACAACTGACACGAATAAGCACGTAAGCACTTCGCTTTACAAGGAGTCGAAGCAATCGGAACTAACGCTGTATTGAGATTGACACGCACTTGAGAACGCAGCACAACATGGCTGCCTGCTGCCTGCATACCTGGACCTATAGCAAGCGAAAACCAAAGCGCGCACTCGCTTGCAAGCCCTTGCGAACACCTACAGCAAGCGACCCCCAAGGCCCACACCAGAAAGAACAACAGAGACCTCAACCTTGCCTGAAAAACACCCTCCGACTGAAGAAGAAAATCTTGGGGCCCTCTGGCCGTCTTTGGATCTCATCGGTTGTTCCATGTTTCGTGCAATTCTCCAAAGGTCATACGCTTCAACATCAGTGAACTTCTGCGCAACCGTTGAATGTCGAGCTGTTTCTTTCGTACAGCAGATAACGATTGTGAAACCAAAATGTGAGCAAAAATGACCGACAGATGATGCGATGAGCACTCCCCCGACTCCCCTACATGGAGGGGGTTCGTGCTGGCTGGGCCGGCGCATGAGTGGTGAGTTTCCAAAAGAATACAGACTACCACCTACGAGCTGCAACTTACCGACCGTCAAACGGAATCAGAAACCTATCTTCAAGAGTTCTTCCCGTCGGTCGAATGCCAAGAAAGCCAAAAGCTTCGGTTGAGTCACCGTCAAATCAGGATCGTGCAAGCTACCCTTCGCTCAGCTGGCACCCAGTGGGAAAGCCATACTGGATACACGCTTGCACCAGATATGGCTCTGTTTGGTCATCTGCGGTATCTTGCTTCCTGATGGATCTCTAGGCTTCCTACTGATCTTTGCACGACACAACTGCAAGCAAACAAAAGCGCTCAACATCCTATTGTGGGGTTCTTGGCTTGACCCCTTGCCATATCAACGCGCGTACGTGGGAGTGATCGGCTCCCATATCACAGGCATCCAACAAGTGTCTCTGCTAGCACCGGACTGTTGGAGCCCCGGTTGCCCCCCTGCTGGCACAACTGACACGAACAAACACGTAAGCACTTCACCCTACTAGCCCTTTGTTACTACAGGGATGACGGACACACACACACACACACACACCAACGAATTAAGTTTAACACATGGCTGGAAGTGGAAGGAGCCTGTGCCACCGTGTTGAGAATCTCCTCTGTCAGACCATCCGGGTTGCGCGTCCATGCCTTTTGGAGGGGTTCGAGGGGCTGGACAGAGTGTAGATGTACTGAAGCCACCGAAGCCTCCATGACGCTCCCTGCCGCAGCAATGGCGCCCTTTGTCGCTTGCACAGCGGGTGGTGCACCTTGTGCACTGGCACAAAGCGGCACAGCGTATGAAGGGGGAACGGGCTCTCCGGCAATGTATCGTATACCCGGGCCATGACGCTGTGAATGACGGAAGACTTGAAGAATCAGCGTGCTGATGCGAATGGTAGCGAAAGAGCCTGTAGATTCTGCTGCCTTCGCGGCTGCCTCCAGGGACAAATGCTGGCACCAAGAGCACATCTGCACCTCACCACCTTCGAACTCCTTATTCGCTTGTCCTTGCCGGCCTTGCCGGCTTGGTCCGCGATGTCTGCCACAGGCTTCTCGGCGTTCAGCAAAGCCTTCAGCCCAGGTGAAGCGAACAGTGCAGCTTGCTAGAGGAATGCCACGGGCCCTGACTTGCCCTCTTCTTAAAGACAGAGGCATCATGATGCACAGGGGCATTCTTTGCAACACACAGAACCAAGCACAACGACCTCCGAGAATCAAGCATCACGTACGACAATCCCGGCCAGCTCAGCAGCGAGGTTGACCAGCCTCAGCTTCCCCAGGAATGTCTTGCCAGCTTTGGCGCAGGCCAGTTCCCCCCAATGCTCTGTCAGTATCTGGGCATAGGTGCCTTGTGGAGGCAAGTCCTGCGCAATACAAAAGCTTCAACAGGTGGTCCCAAAACATCCAGGCATTGTAGTCTAGAGTCTAGAAGAGACGGAGACGAGTACAACAATTGCTGAACTACTGAACACAGTCAACCACAGGGACAGCAGCAGCAGCAGGCTCGGGTTCGTTGCGTCGGACAAGAACGACCCGAATGGATGCAGAGCCCGCTGTGGAGTTAATGCGACTATGACTATGACGACAACTTTCTACAAGTCCGTACTAGCACATGCTAGCGCGGAGGAAGTGTAGCACAGCGATGCATATGTTGCCAGCAGAGTAGTTTAGATGGAGAATCAACATTTCCGAGTGCGTAACGGACGGAGGACTTGGCGAGCCGGACAAGAAACTTCCTAAAATGTCTGCTGTACTCACGTTCTGATGCTGTGCACGTGAATGCGCCTTGCCTCGCTCCCTTCCTACTCGAAGAAGCTCCGCCGTGCCAGTGCTGGATGCCTGAAAGACCCAGGACAAGGAATGTCTCAGCTTCTTCCGGTCTTACTTTGCGGCATTGGAGCCTTGCCGCGAGCGAGTGCGGCTCGCACCCGCTCTGACAAGACCAAGCTATCGTAACAACTCAGGACAAGATGTGGTTCTTCACAGTACCCTGCTCAATGCTGGAGCACGACTTTCTCCAGTCTCAATCCCTCGGGCCTGCATGGCGTCCTTACCAGCTTCAAGCGCTGCAGCTGCTGCGGCTTGCCCTGCAGCTCGGGCCTCATCGGCCTGCTCAGAGCGCTCTCGAGGAAAGCCCCACGATCCGAGCAACCAACAAGACGGGCCTTGTTCTTCCAAACAACCACCTTTGCCATTGCAGCTTTTTTGGTATCCAATTTCGCAGTGTCGTTGGCTTTGGGAATCGGCACCTCCTGCGCAGAACTCTTTCAAAAGAGGTGTTGCTCCGTCAAGACTGTTTCCCCTGACGAATCCAGCAGCTGTCCTGCGCAAACGCGAACCCCCTAGACGTCGTGTCGATCCCGCCGTGGAGTGTATAGTAGAAGCCCGCAAAACAACTGCCGCTCGGGGCTTCCAACTGTCAAACAGCTCCTGCGCAACGTTTGCCCGGGCTTTGACCTTGGCTTGCAGCTCCTCCAAAGCCTGCATGAGGGTCTCGGTGGAGGCTTGTCGCGGCCAGACAGGCGGCACCAGGCCGCAGGGACAGCACGTGAATCTCAAAATCATGCAGAAATCTTTTCCCATCTCACTGTAGAACAGAATGACAGTCATGCTGAAGGTGGCATGAGGTGAACTCACACTTCCGTCCTTGCCCTCTGTGTCTTTCTCCGAACCTGCCGACCACTGTCGCATCGAGCTCTCTAAGAGCCTCTTTAGCAGAAACCCGTACCCTTGCTTCATTGTGGTGGACTTTGCACAGCATCCCATGTGGAAGTACAATCTGTCTGCAAAGGGACCCACTATACATCCTATATCATCCCATACTAGCAGTAGGGCTCAGATGGGCTCAGTAAGGCTTGCTGATCAGCAGGCTTCAGCCGTTTCGACGCCAGCGATGGCCCGGATCTGTGCCTGGATGAACTCGGTCTGGCAGTAGACCGTCGCCCTGATCAACAGCCGCCAGAGGATTTCATTCTGGGGCGTTCGAACCGAAGGGGCCTCCAGGGAGAGCGCGGAGGCCAGGCCCAGCGACTGCAGCCTTGGCGGATGCCGATATACTATTACTATATTTACTATTCCTTGGCGCCGTTGAAGCAATGTCCTGTAAGACATAGACCGCTTCGGCCTCTGCTTCTCCTTGCTGATGCTGCTTGCGGGTCAGCTGCGCATAAGCCCGCATGAGCATACTTCTTGTACAATTCCTTACGGTCCTGTCCTGAGCTTCGGCTCCGCTTGCAGTTGCAGGAAGTTCCTGCCGGCAAGGCATTCGTCGCCAGTCAGAAAGTCGTCGGTGCCGCGAAAGGAGCGAGGTCTGCATTAATTGCGAAGGCCCTTCCCGACACTCTCTTTCCGGCCTCCCGGCTCTCTTTGTGCTTGTCGGCATCTTTGCCCGGCTCCTGTTCACAGCTCCCTTGGGCACATGCAGGTAGGCTGCCTTGGAAAAAAAGAGCACCTCCTGCGTCGCACTGGGCAGTGTGCCTGGCGCGGGACCCGCGAACTCTTCAGAGTCTTCAGAAGCATGTCGTTGAATTCCGCGAGCCTTCTTCAGGACCCGGCCTCGGCTCATGGACACCGCATCAGTTCTTTGTGGCAAAATCACGTCCCGGCTTATACTTCAACCGAGAAGAGCTGGAGAGACAGGCTTCCTCCCAGAGTCCGAGTCCACAACCACATCCCTCTGAATGGGTAAGAAAGGGACTCGACCAAAGCCGCCAGGCCCAGCTTTTTGAGGCGTCCTGCGCCAGCATGCTTTGGCTGCGTGGACCCTGGGTTGGGCTCTGTGCTTGTAGCGCCCGCCTGATGACCGCTTCCTGCCAGGACCGGCCTGCGAGCTGCAGCCGATGTGAACACCCGTTCTGATCTTCTCTCAGCTCTGGATGCATGTGCGTCCTGTGCGCCACGCGACCTACCACTTCTTTAAATCACCTGAAACAACTCAAGTGGCCGAAGTCGAGCCAACATTTGGCACTCAGTCAGTGGCGTATTGTGCTTCAAGCTACTACAAATTAGACTAGAAGCACTTCACAAAGAGTTTTCAAGGTTGTACAAGTACGTGGCCCGAAGGGAGGAGTGAAAAGCCTGTGCATGTGGTCGAGAGGTGCAGGCAACCTGAGCTCCCGTGCCTCGGAAGGATCGGCGCTGGCATCACTTGCGTCCTGGAGAGATGTCGAACAAAGCTCCTGTGATGGTGTGCTTTCATCAGCTCTCCAGACCCAAGGCAGTGCCGAGGCCCAGGTCGAAGAGCCTCAAATCGCTGAGAGCGCTGAAAGCGGCGGGATGCGGGACGCGGCTGCCCTCGCTCCCTGCTCGGCTCGGGCCTCGGCCTGTGCTTGGCCTGGCCCTTGCCCTTGCGTTCTGAAGCCTGGCAAATTCACTCAAGCATGCACCCGATCCCGTCCTCAGCGCACCCCAGAAGTCATGGATTTCCATCTTTCTTGGGACTTTAGCATGAAGCTTCTGAACAAATGGGGTGAACATCTTGATCGATGACTTTGCACAAAACGCCTGTTGTCGCATATTGTGAGTGGCGTAGTGTTTGCCTGGACCTTTCATGGAATTTGCAGAAAATGAGATTGCAATGTGGCACGTCAAATCAAAAGCAACTTTAGAATTCAGAACACATGATTCAGCCTCCCATATGGCATGCAGCATTTGCACCAAACCAACATGCTAGAGACAAGCAAACCAAGCTCGGCCCAGAAACCCGGACAGGATCGACTGGAAGGTGTGTACACCGTGGACACTCCTGGGTAAAAGCTGCCTGTCTAGCATCGGCCGGGCCTGATGTCATGGGAAAGCAGCCGCGTCCAGCTGTTAATAGAAACAGCTCGTGCAGCACTTCTCTGCGCTGCGTGGACAGTTCTGTTAATGTGCATTCCGGGCTGTCGCATTTCTATCAGATCCTTTTGCAGTTGCTTTCGATGCAGCACTACCGTGACGCGACATCTGCCGGGAGGGAGGGGAGCGGGAGGAGGGGGAGGAGGGGGGGAGGCACAACACAAGTGAGCAGCGAACCTTAGTGTCTTTTCCAGGGACTTCTTCCTCCCGCAGGCTAACGGCTGACAATCATCTGGACATTAAGTGGCGCAGAAGCCGCTATCTTCGAACCAGCCTTCGTGTCTTTCTGCCCAGGCTCAGCAACTTCTGGAGCCTCGGCTCTAGCGAAAGGCTCACCTGGGTCTCGCCTTCTCTCAGCTCTGCGTGGCATTGGACCTCCCTCTCACGTTCACGGCTTACGATCATTTGCATCGTCTCGCCTTCTTGTCTGTCCTCGCTCTTGCGACGGCCGTCGATGCCGTCGCTGCTTTTACCTGCGGAATCTTTGACTGCTGTTTACGTCACGACCATGACATGATATGTACAACACCAACAGCTCTCACCATTTCCCAGAAGTGCAAGACGCAAACGTGCTCAGCAGGCTGCGGAAGACTCACTGATAAAAGCGTTTCGATTTCGCAGATGTGAAAAGCCGTGGAGAAACATAGCTTTGTTAGCAATCATGCGTTCCGCTGCACAAAGGCTACCAGCTAGAGAACCTACCAGTTTCGGCGTAAGTGCTAAGTTTGCAAACACAAAGTCACTGCCGTGAGGAAGTGTGCGATCTACCATCATTGAAAAACATCCAGTTTCATGCCGAGTCATGCCTTCTGCTCGGATACTGGAGGAGCGTCTTTCGCTTCGTTGTCCGCCTGGCAAGACAAATCGTTGCATTGCCCAGCTGGCAATGCCACTAGTCAGCCTCTGAAGTGCCACTACGGCAATGCGACAAAGCACGGGAGGGTCAATGGAGAACCCTGCATTTGCACTATAGGAGCTATTCTTGCATGGGTAGACTCCGACAAGCTTCATGGAAGCGTACGTCTAATTTGCACATTGCTACAGTTTGCCGAGGGTACACCGAAACCATGCAAGACCTGTGTATGCTTCTCACCCTGCAGTGACTTCTGCGAACTTCGGAAGCAAGTTGGTGCGAGTCCCTTGCGGTTTGCTGCAGCCTTAGCAACGGAAGCATATTTGCTTATGGCGTTCGTGGTTTTTCATGTTCAGGCACTATAAGATCCCATGTCTTCCTGTCACCCACACGAAAGCGAGCTCTTTGGCAAAATCGGCACGTGCCACAGCAGACGGTGCTTCGACCTGTGCAGAGGCGACAATACATGGCGGCCATAGCGACCTGCCTTCGTCTGATCGTGCGCTGTCGGAGTAGACACCGAAACGAGGCCAGTCGTGGAGGCAGAATCTTCCTGACGAGATTCTGTCTGGACATTAGCTGCAACATGCTCTAGCAACCCAGTAGAAAAGGGTGCATTCCATCATGTCCCAGCACAGTTGTGCCCCAGTCAGCAGCGCGCACCTTGGCAGCAGAGCTCTCTGCCCTGGCCGGCTCTTCGGCAAGCTGCTGAACCTCGGGAGCGTATTGGCCCATGGATAATAGTCAAGCATAGCGGCGAGTGTGCTGGTGGTGTCAGCATCATGCTGCATCCAGGATGACATCTTGCTTGCCTTCTCTCACTTCTCCCGTCAAGATGACTGCAACATTGTCTCGCCTTCTCTTCAGGCGATGCTGCTGCGGCCATCGATCCAGCCACAGCTTCTTCCTGTGCGCATTGTACACGAGCACTCTGGCTGCCTTTACATCTTCGACATCGGCATCGTCCAAGC